AAACTATTTCTACCTCACTCAATTCATCCCCACTACCATTTTCAAAACCTAAATCTCTCTCTCTTCTTTCCCTCCTCCCTCTCTCTCGCCACTCTTCCTCTTTCTGTGAGTTTCGCCGTCGTCGCCGAAGATCGTAGCGAAGTTCGGTTCAGTTCTTCCCTTCATCCCTCTCTCTCGTCACTATCTCTGTGCAGCGGCGAGTGCCGCTTCATCTCCTTCGCCTGTGCAGCAGCGAGTGTCGCTTCATCTTTGAGCTTTGCTGTGCAGCGAAGAGCGCCGCTTCATCTCCCTCGCACATGGCAGGCATCGACGCTGCCATTTTTCTTCTTTTTTTTTTAATTTTTTTGATGTGGTGCTGTGTAGTAATAGTTCGATGGAGCTATGCATGGTGGTGAGTGCGGTTGTGGTTGGGCGTGGTGCTGTGCGCGGTGGTTGGTTTGGGTGCGGTCGTGGTGTGCAGTGGTTGGGTGCGGGTTGTTTAGTGGTGTAGGTTGCTTGGTGCAGGTAGTTATTGGGGATTGCAAAATAGTGGCGGTACACTTTGTGGCGTAGTGGTGGTGGGGGTGGTGCGTTTCTGACCGTGGTGGTGGCGGCGATTGTGACGGTCACAACTTATCAAATTCGAGACGATGGATTTGTTGTCGGGAGGTGGTTTTGGTGATTCTGATGACGGTGGTTTGGGTTGTTGCAACGGTGTGGTGGTGGTCACAAATGATTTGGTTGATTATGACCAATAAATTGGTTGGTGTGTGACCAATAAACAATACGTGACCAATTAAACAGATAAATTGTGACCACTATATATTGTGTGACTAAAAAATTTATTAATTTGTGACCAATAATTTGATCAATTGTGACCTAAATATAATTTNGTGTGTGACCAATAAATAATATGTAACAAATGAAACATATAAATTGTGACCAATACATACCATGTAACCTAATAACTTATTAATTTGTGACCAATAATTTGATAAATTGTGACCTAAATATAATTTGTGATCAATTAATTTGATGTTTTGTGACCGTAAAAAAATTTGTAACTTGTGACCAATAAATAATATGTGATTATTAATTTGATAGATTTGTGACCGATGAATAAATTGTAACGTGCAAATTTTTGATTTGTGACCGATGAACACATTGTGATCATAAAATTTTTGAATTGTAACAGTAAAATAATTTGTGACATATGAAAATTGTGATTGTGACCAATTATATGGAATTTGTGACCAGATTATATGAAATTTTGACCTTAATATATTTAATTAATAAAATATATGTATAATTAATTAATTTATAAATAAAATTTAAGAAACTCTAAAATTTTAAATTTTAAACATAATATCTTAAATTTGAAATTGGTAAGACTAAACCTCTTAGTTATGAAATCTTTCCTTGATCTGAAAGTGGCATGTCATGTACTAAAATCAATCCCAAAGTGAGGCATAAAATCCAAAGGAGGGACCAATGAGTGTCGAACGCCAAAAAATACTAAGCTTTATGATAAGTGCATTTTATACACTTATCCGAGCTCCAAATTATGACATTTTGTGGTTCTTTTAATTAGATTATAACCTAATTTATGATATAATGTGTTATTTTGTGAAACTCGATGGATG